TGTTGCATGAGAATTATGTCAGTCACAGAACTCCACATTAATGCTTTAAGCTCTTTATCATTCATCATATCATAAGAAGCACTGTGGAGGATCACCTGTGTTAAGGTAATATTCTGAATTGTTGTCTTACAGATACAAACAGATTTTTTTCCTCAGTGGACTAATTAATACCAGGTCCTCTTACCTCTGCCTGGCTCGCCAGTGACATTTGGTTCATGCTTGAGTGGCTATCAGGCTGATTTCCATCTCTCGCATGAAGATGTGACTGAGCAAGTGTGTGTGCGCGTGTGTGTGTGTGTGTCTACCGTATCACAAGGACAACACGAGACAGGTTTGCCTTTAGGAGATGGCATTAAGGTAGTATGACAATCGTGGATTAAAGACACTTTCAGCCAATCCCACCTTCCTCACAGGTTAGCGGTTCAACGGCAAATGCAAAAATGACAAAAATTCACATATGCATACACATGAATTGGCTGCTAGTTTGCATAACTCCGCGTTAGACTTTAAGTTAGAGTTTTACACATAATTCATGTTATAGTATCTGGCCTGTACAGTACCCAATTTATGGTTCCCAAAATATTAATAATGAATAAACATTTTACATTTTCTTAATGCCTATGAAGTCACTATATCACTAAATCATATCAGAACAGTATTTCACTATATTCTGTATACTATATTGTGCATTTAACAGCCAAAATGTAAAATACGCTGTAACAATCATGGTTTGTTAATCACTGAGAATGAACTAAGTTAGCTAGCTAGCTTAAAGGAAAAGTCACCCTGAAACACATTGAATGTGTTGAATATATTGAAATAATATTCGCTGTGCGTAGTGATCCTGGTGTGAATTTGCTGGTTAGAAGGTAGTTGTTGTGTGCCGCACTGGGGGACACTTCTTGCGCAGTGGGAATGGTAATTAATATGAGAAAACAATTTAACGCTTTCAAACATAAGGGATCTTACTCAAAACAGAAGAGCAAGTGTTTCTCGCAACGCGCATACAGTTAAGCTCTCTTCGATTCATGCGTGTCAAACATGAGTACAGTTAAAAGGTTTCATTTATCAACAAATATCACTGCGAAAGAGTGTGCAAAACAATTTCATGCAGTTGCAATCTCGCCAAGTCAAGTAGTTTTCCGCAAAAAAAACGCACAGAAATCTCTGCAAGTTGCATCGGAAATTTTGGAAAAAAAAGCAGCAGAATCGCGCATTTTTAGCCGAAACAATCCTGTACAGATGTTCAACACAGAAACAGCCGGAAACAGCAAAGTTGCAGAATGCAATGCAGCTATAGGAGTTACAGCAAAGGTTTGGTTAGAAAGTTCTGTCATCTACAAGATGAGGTGCATGATGGAGTAGAAGGTAGTATTAGCATGAAACTGGAAGCTTTGGAAACTTAACCTTGTGAGCAAGGTGTACAGATGAGGAGGTAAAAGAGCTGGACGGACTAAAGAACTAAAGCGCTGCTGCATCGTCCAGTTAAGTAGAGATGAAGCAAGATCTAATTCCCACTGGCACCACTACCAGCTGGGGGTCAAACATGGGTGTGTTGATGGAAAAATATTAAATAAAACACAGAATTTCAAAGATCATTATAATAGTAAGTGGTTAAGGGTGGATATTTTGTTTAACACAGATTTTCTGTTCTGATAAACAATCTCAATTACAGCAACATGCTCAAAACATTAGAATGTAAAACCAGGAAAGATTTAAGCCATGGACACAATTTCCGTGAATCCACAAATGAGTTCATATGCCGTGCCTTCAGTTTTATACAGGCTTGCTGAGAAAGTTCTATGTTTTCAGGGGAAATGTCAAATTGCATCCAAAGTTCTACTAGCTGTATAATCATAAGCCAACCAAGATTAGTGACCCTTCTGAAAATCACATTTTTGAGCGTAGTGTACTTTCTTGTGATTTATGCATTATCATGGGTGTGGTTTGTGCACAAAATGATGAACTAAAATGAAGATAGTGAATAAAATGTTTTTCTCATCAATATTTTTAATTACCCTATTAAAGCGCTGAAACAAGCGCTAAGAAACAAACATGCATACCCTGCTGATATTTATCATTTTATATTGGTACCTGGACGAAGTGTGCAGCCTGGACAAACTCCTGCAGCAGCAGCTCTCATTAACCCAGTGCTAAATCACACACACACACACACACACACACACACACACACACACACACACACACACACACACAAACACAGAGACAGAGAGAGTGAGAGAGAACAGCTCTCCTGGTGAACTGCTGTGTTTTATCACTGGGATGCCCACATTAATATGCAACCTCTCGTAATGTTTGCCTTAACCAGTTCTCAGAATATTACATTTACAAATAACTTGTATGTACACACCGTGCACAGAGCCAGCAGCTTGTACAAACAAGCAGAGAGTGGCTACAGTCTGGAACAGATGATTAAGCCACTTCACGGCCAATCATGATTAGCATCTTTGGCTTTGTGCCATGGCTTTGCTCATCTCCTTATGGATAACACTATTCTATTGTAGCACAGAGCCCAGGAAACACGCCCTGAGGAGAAGGAACTCTGTTGTGTGTGTGTCTGTGTGTGTGTGTGTGTATGTGGCAAAGGTTTAAAGAATTGGAGCATAAAATCTTAACTATGTACTCATTTGTCTGCCAACTAGAAATTATGTACATCACAAATAAGCCATCCACAATAAACTAATAATTATTTATGCTGTTTTTTTGTGTAGATTTATAATCAGTTTCACAAAGATTCAAACTCAATCCCAGTAGATTTTTATGTATTAGATTGTTTTTAGATCATTTAAAGGGAACAATGCTTTATTTTATGTATTTAGACATACATTTGTCTTCAAACTCTTCTAAAGATAGGTCCTGAGGAGAAGTAGAAGTAGCTGTTTCTGAAGGCTTTCCTTTAAAATGTAATGATGAAAAGACAATCCATCCATCCATCTTCTATACCACTTGTCCTTTTCAGGGTTACGGGAAACCTATCCCAGGGAGCTTCGGGCACAAGGCGGGGTACACCCCGTACAGGGTGCCAGTCCATCACAGGGAACAATTACACTCCCATTCATACACTGCAGACACTTTAGACACGCCAATCAGCCTACTGTGCATGTCTTTGGACTGGGGGAGGAAACCGGAGTACCCGGTGGAAACCCCCCGCAGCATGGGGAGAACATGCAAACTCCGCACACACATGGCCATGGTGGGAATCGAACCACCGACCCTGGAGGTGTGAGGCAAACATGCTAATCACTAAGCCACCGTGCGCCTCTGAAAAGACAATTTGATTGGCAATTCGAATGACTTATGATACATATTTTTTTCGCCACCAGCTTTCTGTGGTTCATGCATAAACCAACACACATACACTCAGAAATTCAGGATTTGTACATCTAGTATGTTGTTGCATTCGTGGAAAAATCCGAACAATATCAGAATCTACAAAATTCTTAAAGAGAGTAAACAGGACTATTAGCTTACATACATGCAGGGCTAAAGGGGGTTATTAAATAAGACTTATTTTACAGATAATTATTTGATTATGAACATGCAACCTAATGCAAAATATGGGCTCATTAGTTGTCCTGTACATTTGTGAATTTATTAAACTACTTAAGTGAATATTTTTAGACAACAACTGATAAAGGGCAAAAGACAGGACCTTATTTCATGTTTTCCGTGCTGCTCACATCATGCCCCTACAAAGGCAACGGACTGGAATTCTGATAAGAGCTACTTCTGTTGTCTCACTTTGAGCCTCATAAAAGGAAGCGGCCTTGTCAACACCAAAGGCTGCAGTTCCTTTCCTTATCCAGAGAGAGAGAGAGAGAGAGAGAGAGAGAGAGAGAGAGAGAGAGAGAGAGAGAGAGAGAGAGAGAGAGAGAGAGAGAGAGAGAGAGAGAGAGAGAGAGACGTGTCTCTCAGAAGAGCTGCCCTTCACCACACTCTGTCTGAGTGCCTGAAGGAAAGGAGAGATTTGGTCCGGAGCCATTTTTGCCACCTTCCACTCTCCTGCTAATGGCTTCACTGCTGAGGAACAGAAGGACAGCTGACTGTAGGCTCAGTGAGAAAACGTGAATAAGAATGATTAAAAAAACATTAATGGAATTGGCATCCTCTGTGTCTCAGCATACTGTGTGAGTTGGTACTGAGGCGGAGAGGGTTGGGTGCCGGGGGGGGTCCCCCCCCCCTACTCATATATTAAAAACACACACACACACACACACACACACACCACCATCACTGAAGCCTGTTCTATAATTAAACACACCATAACACACATAACATGGACAACTTGGCTTGCTACAGGCATAGATGGTAAAAACCTAATCAAAGACAGAGAGGAAATCTGTTAGTCCTTTCTGTAGGATAATATAGACCAGGTTTTGGAAGAAAATGTTGTATAGTAGTCCGATAGGTCTCTCTTATGTTCTAACTTCTCTAGTTTATTAATTGCATCTGTCACCGTTTTACACATTATGCACAAGTCACACAAGTTACTGTTTAAATTAGTGTTGGAATGGGCAAAAGCGATGTAGAACTTTATGTATGGCACAATTCTAGCATCATTCAAACAGCTGCCGTGCTGTATAGTGTGAAATAAGTGTATTAAAAAAAACAAACACCAGCAAGTGGTGATGCCATGAATAGAAACATCTTAATTAAGCATGCAAACTGATGGGCCACAACAAGACCAGTTGCTTTAACTATCCATCCATCCACCCGTCCATTCATACATCCATTTTCTGTACCACTTATCCTACACAGGGTCACGGGGGAGACTGGAGCCTGTCCCAGAGAACTTGGGGCATAAGACGGGGGACACTCTGGACAGGGAACAATCGCACACACACTCTCATGCACTACAGACAATTAAGAAATGCCAATCAGCCTACAGCGCATGAATTTTGGACTGGGGGAGGAAAGTAGAGTACTTGAAGGAAACCTCTGAAGCACAAAGAAAATATGCAAACTCTGCACAGGGCACAGGGCAGAGGCAGGATTCGAACCCTCAACCATGGAGGGTCGAGGCAAACATACTAACCACTAAGCCACTGTGCCCCCCTAACATTAACTAATTTAACTAAATGAATATACTGTCAGAACACATCTTTTGTACACACATTCAAACCTAGAAGCAATTAAGAGTAGTTCACCTACTGACATGGTTTTGGGAGGAAACCAGAGAACCTGGTTGAAACCTACACCGACACAGGGAGAACATGCATAAGAACTCCACACAGACAGTAACCTGAGCTCACTGCCAAACCCGGGAACGTGGAGCTGTGAGGTAACAATGCTGCCCACTGACCTCCATGCACACAGTGTTGTCTCGAAGAGTCAGACTCAAAAATATACTTTTATTGAAGCTTGAACAACATCTCTAAAATTGGTTCTCATAACCCTTTTTATGAAAGCTACATTCAAATACCCCGTGAATACATTCAAAATGATATAATGCATCATTATACACATTGTTAACATTTTCAGAAAAATGCTTTAAACTTTAGTCATAGACTAAAGATTTTATTTTATTTGTATAGCTCTTTGAACACTAGACACTGACACAAAGCAGCTGTACAGAAATCTGGATATAGAGCTAGGTCTAGATGTGCAAGCCAGAGGCAACAGTGGCAAAGAAAAACCTCCTGAGACGACTTGCGAGGAACCAGATTAAAAATGGAGCCCGTCCTATTCTGGGTGACGCTGGATAGTGGGATTATAAATCTTTTCCCTTTGACAGTTTTGTGCTATAAAGTCAGACAGGACCGAGTGTGCTGAAAGAATGTTTATGATTACAGCAGCAGTTCTTAAGTACTGTAAGTTTCCAGTACTCGGATGAGATTGTCCACTAAAGAAGGGGTGAGATATGGGCATACATTTTTTTGTAAATATTAGGAAGTGTACATATTTGAGATATTGATGTTGGACCTTATAACATAACTAACGTAACATTATGACATGTCAGGAACGTATTCATTTGATTATGAATATGGCCTTCATAGAAAGTGTTGCAATTATGGAAAATAGAAAAATAAAGAAAGTAAGAGAGTCAGTGATCATATCTGGGCATCAGTGCACATTTCCAACGTGAAAACTGTCACTGTCCGTCCCTCATCCCTCATGCACTCTGTGTGACGCATCACTAGGACTTGCTCTGCATTTGACATTCATGGGCTTGAGGTCCTATCTGAATGATTGAGTGCCAGCGTTTGCGATGGCAAATTGCATCGTTTCAATCCAGGAGAGTTTTTCCCTGTGGATGTGTTGGAAGTCCCCTGGGCCAGCCTGGAGCTCAACAGCATGTTGTACATCCACATAAAAAGGAAAAAATATGGGAGCTACTCTCATCTTTATGATGTGGAGATTAATCTGTCAGCGTGGCCTGGCGTAAATCTGCGCCCTGCTTTTGCAAAATACTGTTTTACTCGCCTTTACACTATATTTTATCTTTTATTGGCAATAAACATAAAACAGCACAAAGGGGTAATGTTCTCATCAATATTATTACAAAATGACAATAAATTTGAAGGCTTATAAGCTTTTGAAGGAATTCCCACTCCGACCACAAAGCAGTTAAGAGAATTTGAGTCTCACTGAGCAGTAGGTCAAACATGAAACCTTCTGAGCTTCAACTGTATTCTTCTTCAGGACGATGCGAAGAAGCCATCAATTAACCAAATAATAAAATCTCCATTATACGGCAAAATATAAACAAATATAAACAGTATTTTTATTGTCATGAACAGATCAGTAATCATATTTAAATGAATATTCAATGATTATGAATTATTTTGTACATATAATGTAATTGAGTCCCTGAGTCTAATTAAGGATTTGCTCATTTGAATATTTCCCGGCGTGCTTAGCGGTTATATCAGTTATCACATATATAACCTGTTTACAAAAAATTAAATTTATGCTTATGGGTTTACAATGTTTTTAATTATGTTATTATGTATAATCATGCACTCTGTGTGTGTGTGTGTGTTGGGATATAGTTGTTAGGTGAAGAGTAGTGTCCATTTTGCTTTGCTACTTGTGACAATACAAGTGATATGTAGCTACTGAACTCTGGAGTATATAAAACACAAGAGATAGAGACTCTCCTTGAAGACGAAAGGCTTAATTAATGAGGGCCTAATCAGTAAAAGACGACATTATTCATTTTTACCTGTCACACCCCACCTCCGGAGGTCTTCCTCCTCCATCTGCTTGCCTAAAGCGCGGTGTGTGCTGCATGTTGGAGCTGCTGCGGCTTCTCCTGTCAGGATTGCAATGTCAACGCTTTGCTTGCTCTCTCACCCTCGGAGACCACAGCCTCAACAGCACAAAAGCCCAAGCCGCTTTCTGCTATGCTAATTATCTTAGCTGGAGGTTAAATTAACACTTTTAATTAAAAAATTAGCACCAAACAAACACGGCAAAACACACTAATGATTAAACCATCTAAATAAAGCCGCTTCATTCCGAAGGCATGGCAGCGTGAACAGAGTTTTATTACCGTCATAAAACATGTCAGAGAAGGAGATTCCCGTCCAAATAGACCTGCAGTCAGTGTCAGATAATGCCGAGGAGATGGATGGTATGCTTACTGTATTATGTGATTATTATGTAAATGGTTTTGGAATGAATATGATGCCCGATTTCCTTAAGTAACAAATCAGTAAAGCGAGTCTCTGTAATCAAAGCCTCGTGATTGAACATAGGAGCTTATGTCATCATAAGCACAAAAGCTTTAGAGGGGATACAATGTGTAAATAATATTGGAAATCAAGTACTGTTGGACTATTTATTAAAAACAAAAACAAAAGAACAGCTAAACGAAGCTTCAGAAGGCAGCAGATTATTGGAGACAGATTGTTGGAGGAAACAAATCTCTGTGGTGCTCTACTGCTCTCTAGTGGTGTACTACACACACTGCACTATTTCTACAAGAGTTTCAGGCCATGCTCTCAATACATCTGTTATGCGCCATAGAAATACAGAGAAATGTATTCCAAAGAGAAGGAAAAAAAAAATGGGTAGATTTTTGTTAACTATGACACAATTTAATACAAACGTCGTGCATTTATTTATGGGGTGCAGAAATACATTTGCCTTCTTTGTGGATCAAGTAACACTCATGAGTTTACCAACCCTGGATTTACGCATTCAACAGTCATTACTTCAGAAGCTTACAAATGGCATAACTGGGATTTTGTCTTTGATCTCTTTAGAACACTGCGAGTCCAGTTAGAGATAGATCCATATAGATTATAGACTATCCATAAAGCTAGAACAGTACATCAGGGTTGAGGGCTGAGTAGATAAGAGGCTCCTTAGGATCACAGCAGCCGAGGGTTCTGGAAACAGTGTTACCTGCTCCGCTTTAATCATCTCCTCCACACAAACTCAGCAGAGCCTGCTGATAGTCTCCTTTAGTGTGTTCCTATAGACAGAGTGCACCATCAGAAACCATGCATGTGTATATACACACACAACACACACAATATCACAGATATTTTGAAAATGGAAGGTAATATGATTATTAAAATGGGTAGGAGACATGCATGGTGCATATAAATGTGATTAACATGTAACTTACAGAGATGGTCTGGTACAGAGACTTTCCAAACTGGACCTTATACTCAGACCTGATCTTCTTAAGGTCTACCTCACAGCGTGAGACAATGATCCTCGTGACCACTTTCTCCTTTGCACCTTTACTCTGAAACACACACACTTAAGAGTTAGCTTATGATCCTTCTGAGAACCATAAGCCGTAACCTCTTGTCCTAATTATTAATGCAGCTAATTAATACTATGCCCACACACAAACCTAACCATAACCTTAAGGAACCAGTAACCAAAAGGAAACCTTTGGACTTTTTTTTTTTTTTTCTTTAAATTCAAGCTGCATTTTTTGTGTGAGAGGACACTTGGTCCCCACCAAGATAAACACACACACACACACACACCCTGATGTAACTTCCCTGAAAGAAGCTTCCTCTGACAACAGCAGCTAAATTACCACAAAGATAAACCTTACCCTTTTTAAGGTTGTGAGTGAAAGATTTTTAAAGGAATGGAAAAACAGGACAAAATGCAGTTACCTTCATGGCATCGCCGAGTTTGTTGGCAAAGTAGAGTTGTTTGTTTTCAAAGCACTGGACTGCACAGAAAGAGTGTGGAGACATTTTCATTTATATACTGTAGATTACACCCTGGGTATGTCCGTGTCTCTGCAAGATTGCAACACCTGTATGAATATGTGTACACAGGTTAGCGAACGAGTCTTACCGAGTGCAAGGAAGGACTTCTCCAGATCTCCTTTCACCTCCTTCCTGATGCTCTCCTGCATGTCGTAGGGACTGTAGCTCTTGTATCGGTCAAATACTAGAGATAAATAAGCATGATTAAAACATATTTCGCATAAAACCTATTTCTCAATTAGCTTTTATTTTTATAGAGAACAGAGGTGAACGTAAGGGGCTTAAGAACCTTTCTGCAGATGAGGGACACTCCTCTCCGACATGATGCTAATCCAGGTTTTGACATCAGTGCCTTTACGTTTCACTCCAGCTTCATACAGTGCCTGGGAAGCAGAAAAGCATAGGTATGGAATTCTTACACCTGCTGAGAGGTGACATGTAGTAGTAGACGATGTTCATTCATTTAACCAAGACTTTACATTTAATCCATATTTTATGACTTACTCTGGCATCCTCATCAATTTTCTCATAGTCAATTACAGTGCTTGGCTCATCCCTCTTGACCTGTTGGGAAGTTATGAGATAATTACAAATGACTTCAATAATTAGTTGTTTTTTTTTGTTTTTTTTACCCCGTGTTACACAAACAAGGAATATATCTTGGTTACTGCACATATAACATATTAACACACAACCTATGACTGTAATCTGTATTTAAATGTATCTATTTATTACTCATCATTATTGTTACTATATATTTAAACATAACTCTGTTGTGGCTTATTTGGTTGATTGATTTGTAAAGCACCGAGTTAACATCTGTTGTTTTAAATGTGCTCTAGAAATAAAGCTTGACTTGACTACAGA